CATAAGCCACAATGCAAATTTTGATATTAAGTGGTGATTAAATTAAAGAACCTGACTGTTATATGATAATAACCACCATGAGAAAAAAGGGGTCTCATGCATGCATGCATGCTTACTTGTTCAGTTTTTATCTCCAATCCACATCTACACCTGTTCTTATAAAAATAAATGGCAAGAAGTTGGGTAGGTAGCCTTTAAGTCCTCAGGGTCGTAGGATTTGATGCATCCCCATAGGTTACAAAAATTAAGTACCGTTAATTTATTCAAAAATGTGCTAATATTTGCGCGTGAAAGTAGATTTTAGGTAGTGTATTTATGTTAGATATCCTTTCATAAACATTGTGCCTCAAGATGTCAGGTCCTTAGTCAGGAATGCCACTTACTCCTGCTTCCATTTCTGCATTACTGGTACGAAGTGTGATAGCCAGTCTATTGTACAGGGCAGTGATTGCATTAACCACTTAGTAGCAGAGACACGAATGATTAAAGTCAAAAAAATGGGATTAAAAGGAAAAAAACCTTCAAAGGATGATGAAGGAGAGGATTAATGTGTGCCATGATGAGACCAGGCTAAGTTGGTCACTTGGTCACTTACTCCTACGTGCATACAGCAATTATGGTGCTGAAGCCACGCAACAAACGCAGATCCGACAATAAGGGAAAGGTTCGATTTTGCCACCCAGGCATTAGGAGTCCGGAAATACATCATTCTGCTGTCAACGTGGACGCCTACATGGGTACCTACGGCACGCTTGCCAAGTTCACGGGTGTGCTTACTGGTTTCTTTGACAACAATCAGTTCCCCCCTGTTTACTCGAACTAAAATAATCAAAGCCATTATTCAAATAATCAAGTCTTTTTTAAAGCAATAAAGCAAGTACTTGATCTGAATATGCCATTTATCCCAACTAGAAAAAGCAGACAGCAGGACTTCGTGTGAGATTAGAGCCTGCATGAAGGCCGACTAGGTGATGGAGATGCAGACGTCTCAATCGCCACCGCTTCAGGCTATTTAGATTGGCCTCTAAGCTAACGGTATACACTAACAAAGTACATCTGTGTGGGATACTAGCCTAACGAAGAAAATAAACGAGAGAACGGGATAAGGACCCCATAGAATGTTCCAGAACTCGGTACGAAACATGGCATCCTTTGGCCAATCGAAGGAGAAACTCTTTCTGGGGTTGTGAGTATCCTTCCCTAAATCCCTACTCTCACATCAAGAGTGCTAAAAAGACTGCATTTTCTTGAAACTTTCTCACTATTCTCTACCCTACGCATTCCAGAGTACATATGACGATGACCGGATCATCACGAAAACGAGATGCCTACAGTTAATCACATCGAATATGGCCACAGAAGAAACTACATCCTTTTGGAGCTGTGTTCGTTAATGCCACAAATGTTTAATGACCTAGAGGTGTTTTAATGGACAATACTACCTAATATGACCCCTGCCTTTACGCGTACCTGATTGATCAGAGCGATGTAAACGAAGGCGAGCATTTCAAGCGCGTTCCAGAATGCTCAAGAATTGGGCACCAAGTGGAAACCGGTGACATTTCACTGTTGTTGTGAACAATTTTATCTAAATATTTGGATCGCCTTCATTGGTTGGAAAAGCAAATTCCTCCCTTGTTAACGGCATACCTCCATCTGTGAGCAATTCATTTCCAACAACTAATGGGTATCAACTATTTCTAAATAGCGTGCTGACATGCCACATACATCACCGTCTTCGACAACTACACAGCGTGCTCGGATTAATTCCGCCTAGTTCCACGGTTAATTGATGGGTCAAAAATAAAGGGTATAGGTGTGGATGGGCCCATTAATAAATACTGTATTGGTAGCCTCATGCCTATCTATCATTTCAGGGAATTCATGTAGGGATATAAGGGAAATTGCAAAGCTGCGTTCTGAAGGGATTTTCAAGTTTCTGGATCTAAACATTCAGAATTGGACTTCTCGTAACGCTCCTCCTGCTCGACCGGTATCATGAGGAGACACCACAACGGCCATAGCTACGCGTAACCTAGAATTGCACGATAATGGAACCACTTCTTGCCTTAACTTTCCTGCAGCAATCACGCACGTGCCTCAGTACCACTACTGCCATAGACGTCTGTGTTGATATCTTTGCCTTCTGATTGTTCACCTTGAGTTTGCACTAGCATCCCGGGTGGGTAAGACCAACATTGGAATGACATCAGATTTATTCCAAACTAGTGTTGACGCATTTAATCAAATGAATCTTGTGCACATGAAACCGAAAGGCACACCTATTTATTCCTCTCTATAATTCTAACTTTTTGAGCTTTAAAGCATATATGATCTGCTAATCTGCCATATTTTTGACCATTTTAGAAGATCTCAATGCGTGAGCTCTTCGGTGCACCTAGATAAGGTGACAAATGACCCGCACGCAAACTGCTCTGCCAGCGCTTGACTCGGACATTTTATCTCGCAACCGCACACATTCATTTGACTTGCCTAAATACCTTCATGAGGTGGGAAGAAAGTGTGCAGGCCTAACAACTGCGTGGAACACTCTTCCCATTTGCACCTTGTCCTTCTTAGTCTCTTTCACTCTAAATAAAAAGCTTGAGGCATACGTTTATCTCTTTCTCCTGGTTTTGTCTTTAGCTTTGTAAAGCACATTAACCCAAGACAGGGAGAGAGTGGGAAGGGAAGAGAGAGAAGGAGTGAGTGAGGGAGAAATGGAATCTTTGCTCAAATTAAGATCGACCCAAATATTGTGTCAGTGAAATGCCTTAAATTCCACGCGTATCAAACCACTTAGGCGGAATATTGTGCTATTTTGGAAAATTCTTTTTACGAGGGGTAGTAAGTTGTTCATAAGCAAAAAATGACTTCATCGATTCAAAGGCAATTTAGACCATGTAGACCCCAAAGTAAAGTAGGAACAGAAAGGGCAGCAAAGGGGCAACTTTGCGCATGTGCATTCTAGCCGCCCTCACACTGCCTCTATCTCCCTCTTTGCTCTACAAATGTGCTCTTCTCAGCTTTTTAGGGAAAAAATGTAAAGACACTTACATTCCACTGCATGTTTTTAAGTTAGGCAATAAAGCTGTTTTGGCATGAATGAACTTGTGCAGAGAGGGTGCTACTTCATTTAAGAATAGGTAGGCAAGTAATGCCAGTCGATCATGTCAAAACCAGTGAAGTGACTAACAAGTGGATTATTCATTCTTTTCTTGCTCCATGCTGTATCAGCTAATCACAGTTGGAGGGAAGACAACAGTGTTGTTGTGAGCATGGCTTGGAGGTGGACGTCGCAACTACGCTTCGAGTAAAGCAGCTAGGTATAGATCACATAGAGATATCATTAACTTTTAATGGTTAATCTACTTTTGAGTAGCTGAAGGTAGCAGATAAAGGAGAACGAGATGATTTTTAGAAAACGTAGCCCCCTACACCCGCTTAAGCAGTATGTAATGGCAGGTGATATTCGGCACCCATAGTTGAGAGTTGATAGCTGTAGGAAAGATGTAAAATAGGAATGGACAAATAGTTAGGAGAGTAAGTGGATGAGCAATGAATTAATAGATTTACGGAAGATATATGGATGGATGGCAGAGTAGATGAAAGCTTGGAGGACTGAAAAAATCAGTCGCAAATGATTGAGATGGTTGGTTCAGCCGAATAATCATGGATGAACAGCTGAATGTACCAGTCCAATGGCAGACCACGTTAGGCATCCTGTGGCACTGTAACCAAATGCTCA